CACCTGCACTCCTCTCAGGGGGCTGAAGCAGGAAGATCACAAGTTTGAGGCTATGCTGAGAAAAACTCTAAGTAAAAAATTTAAGGTCAGAAGTAAACTGCAATGGTTAACCTAAATTGGTAGCGTCACTGGATTTAGAATTGCCCCAGAAACAATCCTTTTGTGTGTCTATGAGGATATTTCTAAAAATGTTTAATTGAAGAGGAAAGACCCATGCTACATGTGGTGTCACTGTCCTATGGCTTGTAGTCCCTTGAGTGATACAAGGAGAAGTGAGCTGAGTGCCAGCATTAACTTTTCAGAGCCTCCTGACTGTGGATGCAGTGTGACAGTCACCTCCCCTGCTGCCACCCTCCTTCCCCTTGAACTGCAAACCAAACAAATCTTTCTTCCTAGCATATTTCTTGTCAGACATTTGGTTATGGCAACAAGAACAGTAACACATGCATTAGTCTTCACATTCACAACCCACTGATTTATAAACATCGCTTTCAGACCTCTTAACTGGAAAGAGTGTTTTAACCAATGGGGCTATGAAAATTGAGATACAAATAAAGCTAAATGCACACACAACTCACACAATACGTACAACTTAATCCAAAATAGATCAAAGGCACAAACACAAGTGATTACAGTATAAAACAGAGAAGAAGAAAACAGAGGAATAAATATTCATTACACTGGATTTCTCACAAATATGACCCGCAAAGTACAAGAAAAGAATTGAAGACAGATTAGCTGTCTCTACAATCAATACTCATGTGCTTCAAGGGATACCATCAAGGAAGTCAAGCTTAGATCTACAAAAAGAGGAGAAACTCATGTGTTTCCTAAGGAACTTGGTTCTGTAAAATGTAAGGAACACTTAAGAGTTAATAATCAAAAGACAACCCAATTGAAAATGGGAAAAGGATGGAAAGGAACAGTCTGAAAAGAAGATCAATGACCAAAACACCGGCAAAGGTACAGAGTGTGAGCAACTGTAGGGAGCTCTAACACAGAAGGAGGCAGAGTCTAGTTCTCAGGATTAAAGGGGCCACCAGACTTCACATTTGGTGTTTACATACTCCATACAGTCCTAAGTTCACACTGGAACTCCTAGTGCAGATTTTCTTACCTGCTAATAGAAGAACAGTATAAGATCTGGGAAGACAAACACCTTGCTGAAGTAACTGAATGTGAACCTTAGCTATTGTTTCCCTCCAGGGCAGCTTTTCCTTTTCAGCAGTGGTTTATGTTTTGTGCTCACTATGCCAAAGCACTTTTTCCTTAAACACTTCGCCATGTCTTTCTGGGTCAGCCAGATTTGAGAAACTAGAGCACATGTAGCATTTACCTACAACCCTCTTCAGAAATGTAGCGTTTGACTCTCAGAGTCCACAGCCCCTGAAGTGACTTTTATTATTGTCAAAGACTTTCTCAGAGTCACAGCTTCACTGAGCTATAAAGCGTGGATACTGTATCTAAAGCAGGCTAATACTGGTGCCTGCCTTACAGCTTTAAAATTCCCTTATGTGTTCTGGGAATGTAGGTTAAGAGCAATATTATGCCTTTTCTGACATTTAAAATGTATTTAACTAGTTAATTATGATGTCTACACAGCAGGGAACAATTCCATATATTTGAATTATATACATAAATACATAACTTATTCATCATGTTTTGTGTGTGCATGCATGTATATATGTGTATATGTATGTGTGTGTCTGCAAGTGCACATGCAGGTACCCAAAGAGGCTAGAAGAGGCTCCAATCTTCTGGAGCTACAGTTACAGGAGGCTATGAGGGCATGAGCACCCTGATGTGGGGGCTGGGAACTGAACCCGGGTCCTCTGGAAGAGTATAAGTGCTCTTAACCACTGAGCCATTGTTCCAGACTCTGTATGTTAAATCTTTGAGCAGATATCAGAGTTCAGATTCATCAGTGCTCCGGCAGTGCACTTGGTGCCTACAGTGTGCACTACAATCTCTGCTCTTCCGCTGTCTGGCGTTTTGGTAACAGACTTCAGGGTCATGCAGTAGATTTCACATTTACTACCAATGTATGTCTTCCTTAATAGTAACTAAATAAAGTATAAAGTAAGAGTAAAGCAATCAGCTGATCCCATCTACAAAAAGTAGGACTTACACAAAGCAGAGTGTTAGGCTTCGACTTGATTATTTTCTATGTCAACAATATGACTTTGTAGCAGATGTGAGGAAAACACACGTAGGAGGTTGTAAGGAGTAACTGCACATTCTGAAGCCACTTTGTATTTTTTACTGTACCTGGCTTGGTGGCTTTCAATATACTACACACAGGGTCAAGGCTATATAAATTAAATTGTGTGTAAAGATCAAAGTTGTTTATTTGTTTTTTGTTTTGCTTAAGATACAACCGTGAGGAAATCAGATATTTTACTCTAAGGAAAAATCTAATCTTTAGAAGGAGGTGATTGGTCCACTAATAACTTTATCTTGGCCTTCTTTGATGAATATTTCTCAACAGAGAAACAATGATGAATATATCGAATTGCAAGGCTCCTTTGTTTTCCAAATGGATCTCTGTTTACACAGACTGCTGGGCCACATTATCAAAGAGCAATAATACAGTGATCACTTCTTTAGCCTGACTTGGGCAGTGACCACACTCAGAAGAAATAAACCTCCTTTTCCAAGAACAGCTGACTCTAAGATTCAGTTAAGAAGTAGATCACTTAGAACTCTTACATGTTTGTGTCAAATGGGAATGGGAAGAACTCCAATGGCATTATGGGTGGTTTTAGCCAGGGCAATGTCTGAAGAGAAACTGCTCAAAGGAAAAATGATGTGCAGATTGCCAACAAGATCTCTAGCTGTTTTTTTGTCCCCTCCTGCTTAAAAAAGCTACTTTATTTTAAAATCTTAGATATCTGGTCTGCATGTATGTCTATGTACTATGTGTGCCTGGTGCCCACAGAGGCTGGAAGAGGCCCTGGATCTGTCAGAAGTGCACTTGTAGGCTGGTGAAAGCTGCACCTGTGGATGCTAGGAACCAAACCTGGGTCCTCTGCAAGAGCAGCTGGTGCTCCTAACCCCAGAGCCATCTCTCCAGGCCCTTCTGTAGTTTTCAGTGGGAGGTTATTTGGGCAATCCCCATACAGTTTGGACTAGTCACTATGATTTAAGAACTGTCAGTCCAGTTAGGGAGTTCTCTAATACTGTCATTTCTGTTCTTCTCTTGGTACTTCCCCTCTTAGTCATTGTCTCACTTCAAAAACAACATGATGGAAAGAGATGGTGCAGCTGAGTGTAAATCTTCAATAAGAGAGACCTGGGCTATGCCAGCGGCACTACTGTGTTACTACAGATCATTGCAAGTTGGTGTGACCACATGAATTTCACTTATAAAATTCTCAGTATCAGTACATGGTGATCCTACCTAAGATGATAGCATGTGAGTTCTAACTTCAATCTGGAAGGGGACTCTTTTACCCTCTGCCTCTCCACACGTCCTTCCTGTGGTCCAAAAGAATCCCAAAGCTTCTTGAATTTTTCCTGTGAAAGTTTCTCTAGACTGCTCTGTAGCTCGGCCTGTAAAGAGCCTCAGCCCTTCTTTTCCTTGTTTCTGGGATGAACATGTTTGAGTTGTCCCCTGCAATCTCTCAGAGGTCCCCAGCAGGCCTGAGTTCCAATTACCCACAGGTTAACTCATTAACACACATTTACTTTTCACCTTCAAGCTTTTCTGTTGTTTTTCCAGCATGCTTCATTGGCCACTTCCAAAATAATTATTTGCATCTAAAATGTCCCAGAATGTGTTTTAAACTGCTGTCATTTGGGGAAAGCAATTAAAACCGAGGCAGCAACCAAGAAGCTACCTTATTCTATGTAAATGGACAGAAAGGTGAATCTCATCAAAACAGAGAGTAGGCCCATCATTCCCCAAGGCATGGTCTCCTAGATCGAGAACACATCTGAATGAGAGGCATCACTGGGGAGACAAAGCATATTCTAGAGTTAACTCTTGATGATGGTTAAATGAATAAAAAACTAAAACTTACTTAATCACATATTTTAAAATAGATGAGTTTTATGATATCTAAATACATCTTAATAAAGTTGTTGAGAATACTTTATTTTACATGGACAACCCTAAGGTTCAGAGAGGTAAAGTTCCAATGCTACATAGCAAACAAGTGTTGGGTAAAAAGCAGAACTTAGGCAAAAATGACTCTGAGAAATTACATTCTCCCATGGACTAACAATCTTGCTTTAACTCATTGAAAACTGAGGGACATCAGTTAAATAAAACATCTGCTCAAAATATAGGTTATATTGAAAAAAAGTTGCCACGTGCTGTCAAGGTTGGAGAAAGCACACTCTAACAGCAAAGAGGCCCTGTGTAGTATCACACTCCATCACATTCAGGTCAAGTGTCCTCTAAAAGTCCCTGTCCTGGGGCAGACTGGCCCCTCAGCCTATGACAGAAAGAGGAGAAAACAGCAAAAAGACAAAGAGATTTAAAATACACCCTTGAGAACAGCTAGAAGATAAACCATTTCTAATAGAGGTTGCTATTATAAAAACATCTACAGTGGGAATAGGAAGCCAGATGTTGGCCCATGGAGAGACCTCTCTGCTTTGCACAGGTCCCTTAGTGGGGAGCAACATCACGCTGCTTATCAGGGCTTCCTTAGTGCCTTTCTGCTGAATGTTGTAAGCACCAGTGCCATGATGGTGCTTCTGCTTCTTTTCCCTCTGTGGTTATTCCACGTGTCTTTGCTGGGTGTTATAAGGGTCTCAAGTGACTGCACTTTGTTATATATCTGCTGTATCTGTCTTGGACAATGGGTCAAAGGGCATGCATAACTATCTCCCTACTTATGCACGGGGAAATGGAGCTTGCTGAGTTACAGGATAGGGAAAAAGTCCCAGGGCCCTTTGAGGCTCAGGCAGTTTCTCTCCAGGGACACAGCTGGTTATCCTGTCACACCACTTCTGCTGTAGGTAGAATTCTGATCTCCTTCTCCCCTCCATACCTCACTGTTGAGCTTGTTTATTTGCTGCTTTGTTTCCTCAGCCTTGATGAACAGAACAGCGGCTCCGACCTCCGGGTCTGAAAAGTGACACACACAAAGTGAGTCCTTTAGGAATACACTGTGTGTATTCAAACTTTGGGATGGCTGCAGTGTGGAAGGAAGGCTGTCACCTCAATGTCCCTGCCGCCTGAGCTCATGGGTTCTTCCTCCCCAGGACCAGACAAACCTTTGTTCAATTTTTGGGCAGCACCTGCTGTACTCTCAGGGGGCAGTCTCACAGCACAGTGGTTGGTGACCACACTGGCTGCATGGGTTCCCACACACAGTCAGCATGTTCCAACGTCATACTCTTGTCTCTTCTCATTCTCACTGTCACTCCCCATGCCACACACACTGACCATGCTTCCCTTTTCTGTTGGAAAAGGGATTTGCTGTGCCCATGAGAACACTTCCATGCCTGTTTCAGGGGCTAATCTCTTTTGCTTCATATCTTTTACTGTACCACTCCCTTGCTCTTGTTTTTTAGTTCTCTTCTCTATCCAGGGTAAGAAGCACAGATAAATTATGTCTTTGTGAAAGAAAAAATTTGATGGGACAGAATTAGCCTGTCCCTGATCAGCTGTGAGTAGAACACTTGTTTGTGGGGGAAGAAAAATCACTCAAAACAGATCAGAGTAATCATAAGAGCCAATTTTACATAGATGCCTTGCAGTCACTCAACAAACCATTCCCATCATATACAATAGGCCAATACCCTTTTATAGGAAATGGCAGTGAATAAAGAGCCCAGCAAAGGGAAGAGGCATTTAAAGACAATTAGGCAGTGGGTTTGGATTTCATGCTAAAGGCTGGTATAAAACACTCAGGTTTTAAGCACTGAAGTTGAGCCATACAAGTATACTTATACTTTTAAAATGTTCTCTCTGCATTAAAAAGCAATGTGAACTCAGGGAAGAAATTTGGTGGCAACGAAAGCAAGGTGTAAGTGTGGCCGTAGAAGGACAGGTCTAGGCAGAACTGAGAGTCACTTCCAAGGCAGAAAAGAGAAATTGTTGCTTAAATATTTGAATATTAATGGTGGGACAAGGGAAAGGAGGAAGCCAAGAAATGAGTGGGTGAAAAGGGCAAGGCTCTTCATTGCCCCCAGGGAACCACAAGGAAAACGTTGCTGCAGAGATTCATTACTGGCTTTTGTGGCAAACACAGCAGTTTGATGTGACTATTATTTCCAAAGTAAATTCAATATACATAGTTTAGTTGAGCTAATGAATTAAGACTCTACTCTTTCTCCATTTGCATCAAGTCTTATGTGGACCCTCTGTTTTCCCAGAAGGCAATGAGTGCTAGGAAGGATTGCTAATTGCCAATAAAATGCTGAATTTACTAAACAGTAGAGTCTCATCCCTGTTGTCAAAACTATCCATTCAATATCTTTCTTGGGTTTGGGCTTATACAGGGGCCTGCTAGTTGGCAGGAGAATGGAACACAAGGATGTTAGCATTTGCTCAGAAGTGAGAATGACATGGCCAGGGAGTGCTGGTCTTGCATACCAGTTTTATTCATTTTGTTTTATCTACAAGCATTTAACAACTATTCAGTGCCCCATCTTTATTAACTGAAGGTATGTTTTCCTTATTTGTCATTTCTGGTCTTGATCATATTGACAGATCCTTTTTGTGAGGTTGACAGAGGGGGGAAGAGATCAAACTGGGCTTGAGTTGGAGATATCTTTATACTAATTCACTATCCTTACAGGTTGGTGTTTCATATTCAATTGTCCTACATCATTGCAAAGTTATTTATTCTGACAGTCTATAAGTATATAACCTCTCACCAAATAAATGTTTAAGTATTACCAATGTTTTCAGAGCACACAACCAGCATGGTATTTCTTCTAGGTAATGTTTTTGTGAATTTATCTGGATTTATAATAGGAAAATAGGGACACCCTCTGATGAATACCAGAAACTGGATACTCTGTTGGCCAGGGATGGTAAATGGCAGGGTAGGGGGCCCGATCAGAGGACAATTACAAGCAATGACCTTAGTAGCTAGAAGTGGCACAGATGCCAGTCAAATCACTGAGTGCCATGAAGAACCCCAGGAGATCAGCAGGCAACAGTGCCAGACAGCACACATTACAGAGAACATCACTCTTGAAGACGACTAACAGGTGCTTACCTCTGAGTGGAGGAGAAATTCTGGGCTCTGGCCTGATTTGTTCAGAGCCAAAGTCAAAAGTCTGAGTTTCCTCATTGCTATCACCATCTTCAATTCCATCAACAATCCTGGGTCAAGTACAGGAAATCAGTCAGCTGTGCACTTACATTTATGAGTTCCAGAACTTATATAAGACCTCTAAGACATTTCGTGTTCAATTTCTAAATTCTGGGTGCTACAAAGTTATGCCAGCCCCATAGTAACCGGTTTTTGAGATGACTCTTGGGGGCCTGACTACTAGTTCTGTATGTATAACATGCACTTCAGAGTTTGAAAACAAGTTTTAGAAGGAAGCATAAGCCATTTAAGGATTTCTGTATTTTTTATAACTAAAATTATAATATTTGGGACATATGGTATGACATAAAATATAATACCAAAGTTAATTGCATTTAGGGTTTATTCACTTTAAAATGTGGCAATTAGGAACTTTAAAATTATATATGTGGCTCACATTTTAGCTTACATTTTATTTTTGTTGGACATTGTTGCTATAGAAATTAGATTTATTTATTCTAAGATTTAAAAATCAGGCTAATACACACACACACACACACACACACACATACACACACACACACACAATTTTACCTCCATCTAAGAGAAAACACTTTAACTTAATGACTGAAACACCACAGAAAACAAGTTCAATGATACCTCTAGACAAAGACCTAAAACTACCTATTTGAGTGTTAAAGAATTTCATTTATTTTCTCAATATGTTTGTTGTTGTTATTCTGGAAACTGAAGCTAGGGCATCATGAGTGCCAGGCAAATATGTTCCACCTAGCTCCAGCCCCAGCCTGAGTGTTTAAATCACTGAGAGTAGTTGAGTCTTTTTCCTTGGTAAATGGTATCTAGTTTGCTCACTGCTGAATATAAGTATGTTGTAGAAAATGTATACAGAAAGACAACACAATTCAAAAGTGAAAGTCCCCAGTCATTTACTGCAGCTATAAACATTTTGGCAAGTGTCCTTGTAATGCTCTTCATCGAAAAGAACACCAACTCATGGGACCAGCGTGCGATCCTCGTCTCCCTTCTCTTCCAGCTCTGAGACTTTTCTAACTAAAAGTTGTCATGCTTTCTTCACGTTCAGCCTAATGTGCAATACACAGATGCTGTAGTGTCTTTTCTGCAAGTGGATAAAGAACTAGTATATTAGAGCCATCATTTGGTTTACAAGTGGAGAAAGAATTTGTATCCAGCTTCCAGTCCTTACTGTTGCTGAGGTCTTTGACAGAATTTTTAAGTCTTAAGTTTATTTTTACAACATTATAGGAAGAAATAACATAAATGACTTCTCCAGACTCCAGGAAGACTAGGTACAAAAATGAATAGAAAATCACCTCACAAGGTGCATGGAACCTAGGAAGCATTCAGGATATTTTCCTCACGTGGGTGCTCAGCTGGTGGGGTTCTAATGGTTCTCATTGCCTTCCTGGAACCACAGCACGGGTTTTCTACCATCTTAATATCCTGTAGTTGATTCTAAAGTGACTTTATTTTCAGTGCAAATAAAACTAGCTTTACTAAAAAGAACAGAAATAAAACTAGCTTCAGTTATGCACAGTAACAAGCCGAATATCATGAAAGGACAACAGCCTGCAATCATTCATCATATCAACCTGTTGTTCCATAAAGACTTGGGGGTTAAGGGGTAACACTGAAGGATCTTGCTCTCTTCAATTTTTATTGTGAATTCAATTATAAATTGCATTATATTAAGTAGAGATAAATTAGTACAAAAGAAGAAGTGATGAATATTTACTGGAACCCATTTAAATTATTGTACAATTTTCATAGCACACAATACACAGAAATCTGAGTATATATGGTTAAAAAATTCACACATGGTTCAGGAAAACTGAACAACTGAGGTTGTGAACTTATGGGACAGAAAGTCTCAGAAGGCCAAATAATTTATTAGGCATGTATGTAAGCACATGCAGAAGTGTGGGTGCTCCCCTGGGAGACTGCTGTGCTGGTGAACTCTTACCTTGGACTGAGCTCTGGGGTTCCAGCGCTATTCAGACTGCAAAGCTGCACTCTCAGGTTCTTCTCTTTCCTTCGGCCATGGTGAGGTGGCTCAGCCTCTTGCTTGGCTTTTGGGGAGTTAGCAGCAGAGACTCTGATGGGTGAGTGGAAAGGTACTGTCCCTGAGGCTAGTTGCTTTAGGCTTAATCCTAGGTAGCTCTTGTTGCCTACAGTCTTCTTGTGGCGTGAAGCAGAGGGTCCCCTTGTGTATATAGGAGAGAGGGAGGTGGTCTCCTCTTCCTCCACCTCCTCCTCTTCTTCCTCATCTTCCACAATGGCTGGCAGTCTCTTGTTGATGCTTCCATTCCCCTTGGGCTCTGCCTAGATCAGTGGACAGTACAGATTAGCACAGATTGCCAAGAGGCACATCACTCATACCAGAGGTTCTACTGAAAAAGATCGAATTCCTTAGAGACTAGTAAACCTTTGCACATTGTGTTATTACTTTCCAAGTTTTAAAAGGTTCCCTAGTTTTCATCCCCGGGTTTACCTTTTCTGCTTTCCTGGTTTTAGCTCCCAATCATTCACTTAGGCCTTAAAAATATTTGGGTGGAGAGCTGTGTGAAGATGTATTGTACATGCTTCACACCTAGATTTACTCAGCTACCCACTCATAATCATAATAGATGACACTCTTTTAGGAATATGGACATTTTAATTTTATTGCAGGGTCTTGGGTTGTAGGATTTAAGGCTGCAATGTCTTTAAGAGGAACCCACACTTGAGAATATAAGTCTCTATATTGGACTTCATGGAAACATGAAGCATCTGTGGCTTCCTTGCTTCTAGCTCCCCTTGTTTTTATAAGTCACTAACAAGATATAGAGCAAATTCCTGCTCCTTTGGAGAACCTTGAGATATGTAGGAAAAACAGTCTTACCAGAATCCATCTCAAGAGCACCATGCTGTGAACCAGGGCATTCAATCTCATCAGTCAAATAAGAGATGATAGGAGAGAAATAACTGATATAAAGCGAGAACATGGGTGGAAGAGGCTAGCCCCTCTCAACTATAATAACTGAAGTAAAGGCAGAGTAGCTGAGCAGCAGGTAGAAGAGGCTAACCCCTCTGAATTATTGCAATGTTTCTTGCTTAGACCCAGACATGATCTCTCGACATGTTCACTAGTCAGTTTATTATCAGAAAATAAACTCATTATACTGTGCTTCAGTTTCCTTTCAAAATCCAATTGTGTATATACACTAAACAATAGTTCCTAATGAAAATAATAGTTAACACTGAAAACACCTAGGATTATTATTGAAGTTTCATGATCTGCCATGGTGATTATGCAACAAGTACTTGGTTTATTGGTGTATTTGGATGTGTGGTATCTATAATAGTTACAATAAAACGAAACAAAACAAAAAATACTGTGGTGGCTTTGAGTCCCTAGCTCATTTAGTTTAGGTGTTAGCCACTAAATCCAATAAACCATTAGTTCATTCAATTTTTTTGTTAATCTTAATACATAAAAATTTTTGAATAAAATAATGTTCCTAGCTACATATTTTTTCTAGCTACATATAATTATTCTAATTAACAATGAAGCTATGCATTCTTTACTGTAAAGTCATGGTGCTGCTTTTCTTTGTTTATTCTGTTTTTAATACCATTTAAAACTTTGTACTTTAACAAAAATTGGACCCTCATGGAATTATACAGGATCACTGTGTACTTTTATTGTAGAACAGAAAAATTAGCTTGCCCTGCTAAAGACACAACAGGGCAAACTTATCAAAGAAATAAAAAACCTGAGTACAATCTCTAATTAGGTCTGTTTACACTGGCATTGACAATTTATTCATTCCTTTATTTGAAGAAGTCTCCATTGGTTCTAATAGAATCCTCTGACTGATAACTTACAAAATGTTTGTACTTATGCGAGTTCATTTAAGTCTTATAATTACACTTTGTCAAAGAGTCTTGGTGCCTTGAGAAAGTTTCTGGGAAACTGACTTTTACGATTAAGATGACAGATACTACTTATACCAAGAATTCATTCTCCTACAAGCATTATTGTAGACAAAACCTAAACGTGTGCTATTATTAGATAGCTAGCCTGTCATTAGCCTCTGTTTAGGAGAACTGGTGTGTAGTTCAAATGAAAAATGTTCCTGATGGTTTCAGATGTTTGAACACCTGGCTCCCAGTTTGTGGCTTGCTTGGGGAGGTGATGCAGCCTGCTGGAGGAAGTACATTAGTGGGGGTGAGTTTTGAGAGTTCATAGTTTCGCCCTAGTTCCAGTTTGCTCTCTCCGTTTAGTGTTTGTGGCTGAGATGTGATCTTTCAGCTTCATGCACTGGTCACCATGCCTGCCTGTGGTCATGCTCCCTGTCATGATGGCCCTCATCTCTCTGCAACTGTAGACCAAATAAACTCCTCCTTCTATGGTTTGTCGTGGCCATGGTGTTTTAATCACAGCAATGGAAAAGTAACTAAAGCAACTAGTTACTTTCTTCAGGGCATCTGTGTGGAGCACCTGCTTCTCCATGTTGCTGCAATACTCGTATACACTGCCAAGAAGTTCTACTACAGAGCTCTCCTTTCACTGCGGTACTTTTCTTCACTGACTGTCAAATGCTTTCATGAGGCTGCACTGGGATTTTGATAGTCAAATTTGAATCTCAAATTGGCTTCTTGGTGTTCTGCTAGAACTGCTGCCTCAGACTTAAAAATGTCTGGTCAAATGGTCTAAAAGGCAGGACAAAGTCTTGTGCTAAGTGTATGGTTACACATATTCCTGAAGTCCTAGGTCTTACTTTCTAGCTATAACCTTGGTAGGAACATAATCCTTATGAATCATGGCTTCCTTATCTTCAAATTAGGAACAGAGTGAAGAGAATATTAAACATTGAACATTAGATTATATAAATTAGATATTAAATAATATACAATTAAGTGCTCAATATTTAAAACATTAGGAACTGTAACCTGGAATTTTGATCTAAAATAATCTTTTTCTCCCTTAAGTTTTTTTTTTCTTTTGTTTTTTCAAGACAAGGTTTCAATGTGAACAGTCTTGTCTGTTCTGGAATTCACTTTGTAGATCACACTGGCCTCGAACTCACAGAGATCCTCTGCCTCTGTCTCCCAAGTGCTGGGTGTAAAGGCATGCGCCACCACTGCCCAGTTCTTACGTTGTTTTTTTGACAGAGAATTTTAGGATAGCAATAGAAATGAACCAGGACAGTGATGATGATGAAAATGGCGTCTACACCAGGGTAGAGGCTGGTTACTCCTTCTTATACAAGCTTTCCTCTGTCTTACTTAAAAGGTTGGTAGCAATCCCTGGGACTATTGGCAACAGAATGTCCTAGGTAGCTTTAATTGTCAACTTGATACAGCCCAGAGTCATCAGAGCAAAGCCTTCAGTGAAGAAATATCTAAATCAGAAGTACAAATCAGACCATGTACCCATACAGATCTCAGTATTACAATTGCTTCCCATTATTACCAACACAGGTAGGGAACACACCTCCATTTTGACCCTTATCCACTCCAAGCAGTGAGTCTTGGGAAGATGAGAGCCCAGCCCCCTAAGCTTCCATGTGGCTAATGAGAACCCTACTATACACAGAAGGGAAACTTCTAAAATAAAGACAGCTAAAATGGAGAGTCAGAAAACTCCTGGGATCCTTCTCAGCACTAGGGCTGCACACACATGCTATCATGCTTGGCTTTGATGTGGGTTCTGGGGATCTTATGCTATACAAGTGTTTTACCCCTTGAACCATCTCCACAGTCCTTCAGATAAAGATTCCCAAAGTGTACTAGTGAAAATCCCCACAAAAGACAAAAAAGCAGATCAATCCAGTCTAGGCTGTATAGAGGAAAGTTAGCAACACAAGGAAAAAGTTAGAAAAACAGATGGGGCAATCAGCAATGTGGAAGCAGAAGTCAGCAACATGGAAGAGAAACTCAACAAGAACACTTAAATTTTGAAAGAAATTAAAATGTCAAATGGAAAGCTTAGTGAACTAAATAAAAAAAAAAACACAGTGGCAATCATCATCAGTAGATTTGATAAAACAGAAGAGACTACCAGGGTTGGGACACAATGTGGAGGAAATACTATAATTAAATATCAATTAGGGAGAAAAATAAATGAACATAACTCCAATATCCAAGAATTCTTAATATAATCAAAAGTTCAAACTTAAGAATCTACAGTATATAAGAGTAAACAGAGATTAAAAACTGAAGTAGTAGAGAATCCAGACAATGGAATGATAGTAAAAATTTCCCTAACTTAGAGAAAGAAATGGACATCAGAATGCAAAATGTATTTAGTACCCCAAATGGACATGGGCAGAAAAGTAATAAAATAGAGCTAAGATGTCAGAAACACAAAGCAAGAAGCAATATTTAGGGGTAAATTCCAACTCACCTTACAAAGACAAACATATCAGAATAACATCCAAATCTGCAACCATAAAAGCCATGGAAGAGGGAATGACATGTATTAAGTCATGAAATTAAGTAACTGTCAATCAAAATTGTACACACCATAAAGCTGTCTTTTAAAATTGATGGTAAATGAGAATATTTTAAGATTAGCAAAAACTAAGGTGCTCCATGACAGCAATGCCAACATTAGAGAAGGCACTTAAAGGAAGAGAAAAGTCTCCTGGGAGCACAGGAAAGAAAACACTTTATGAGAAGAGAGAGGAAAAAAGGAAAGCTGAGAAAAAATCCACAATGTCCAAAATGTAAACCAGAAAATCCCTAATATTAAGAGAAGAAAGAATATACACAATGATCTAATCAACCAGGAAGACAAATAATAAAATCACAGTACTTGATAAATACCTCTCAATAAAAACCTTAAATATAAATAGCCTCAATTCACCAAAAAAAGAAAATTAGACTGATTTTCTAGATTAAAAAATTATTTCTGGCTATCTTTTGTCTCCACAAAATATTGGCAAAGACACTGATAGGCAGACAGTGCCTACAAGAAGAAAGTCTCTATGTTAAGGGAATGGTAGGCCAAAACAAGCTGTCTTGACTATTCTGATCTCTAATAAAGAAGACTACAAGCCAAAACAAGAAGGGACGAAAAAAGGCTAGGGCATATTAACAAAAGGAACAAAAGATACAGCAATTATAAATATAAATGCATCAAAATTACAACTCCTAATTTCATAAAGTGAATATTAATGGGCCTAAAAGCTCACATATGTTCTCATATATCAGTAGTGGGTGACTACTATTATTCATGTGCTTAGCATTTACAAGTTAAACTAAATTATTGTGGAATATTATTTTAACTATGTAAAGATGTGTTACATTTGTTTATGGTGCATTTCCTTAATTATGTAAAGATGTGTTGCATTTGTTTCATGTTGTCTGCCTAAGGCACCTGATTGGTCTAATAAATACCTGAATGGCCAATAGCTAGGCAGAGAGGAATAGGCATGGCTGGCAGGCAGAGAAAATAAGTAGGAGGAGAAATCTAGGCTCAGGAGAGAGAGGAAGGAGGAGAGAATCAGGAGAAAGAGAGGGACATGCCCAGGGCCAGGTCAGGCAGTCAGATACTGGAGGAAGCCCAAAAGTAAGATATACACAAAGAAAGAAAGGTAAAAAGCCCCAAGGCAAAATGTAGATAAATAGAAACAGATTTAAATAAGTGCTAAGATAATGCAGAACATTCATAACTAATAAGAAGTCTCCATATCATGATTTGAGCAGGTTGGTGGCCTAAAAAAATTAAGCCTGGTACACTGAATGCAATGCTTTAATTTTAAACTATGACCCTTTCATGCCACTGACAGAATAGTGTGTGTGTGTGTGTGTGTGTGTGTGTGTGTGTGTGTGTGTGTGAGAGAGAGAGAGGGGGGGGGAGAGGGAGAGAGAGAGGAGGAGAGAGGGAGAGAGAGAGAAGTGGCTAAATATAATATCATTGATACCATTGCTGAAAGTAGTGGACATTAAAAACAATGATTTAGCCACACTAAATGTTGGAAGCAACATATGGATACAGATGGATAACATCTGTGTGTTATTTGGGTCAGAAAAGCACTTCTCTTGTAAAACTCTGGTAAAAATTTTAGACAAAGATTTCTCATTCTTTTCTCATACCATGTTTTATGTGATGTTTAAAAACAAGGAGCAGTGCTATCTGTGTGGCTGATGTGACACAGACAGACAGACAGGTCACATGGAGAGAAGCAAACAGATCAGATCAGGCTTGAAGTGACACCAATCAGAAGATTCATTTCTTTAATGTGGCATCACCACAACAAACCTAGTGCAAAGCAGTTGGCATTAAGGAATGATAAAGACCAGGGAAGTAACTGATGAAATGGAGAGCAAAGTACCATGCATAGACTCAATCAAACAAAAATTAACATTTTGAAATAACAAAGCAAATTGGCAACCCTTATTCAGAGGAACCAAAAGTAAAACAAAATCCAAATTAATAAAATTAGAAATAATTCAAAAGAAATCCAAAGGATTGAAAACAAATACTTCAGAAACTTTATTTTTAAAAAAAATATAGAAGAAATGGATATAATCCTAGACATTATGCTCTTGCATGATATAAACAATGTAAGCAAGAAATAGGGCTTGAAGAGTTATCTTTGCTTCTCTACAAAGAAAACCTCAGGGCTGGACTCACTGCTGAATTCTATTAAACCTTTAAGGAAGATCTAACAGCAACATTCCTCAAAATGCTCTGTAAAATGGAAAGAGAAAGAACACTACCAAACCTCATTCTATGAGGCCTGTCTTATCATGATACCAGAACTAGATAAGAACAAAACATTCAGAACCATGGTTGAGTTCTAGGTCAGCCTTGGCCACATAGCAAAGCAAAAACAAAAATAAAAAATATAAAACAAAAGCCAGCCATACCTGTGAGACTGCTGATTTGTTTGATAATCTTGATATTACCTGAAAGAACAAACAGACTGTTTAACAACCATTTAAACCTTTTCAATGGAATATACATTTCAAGAAGCGTGTGTTCCTGTAGAAGAGAAGAGTTTGCTAAAAGGTGCTTCTAAAAGGTCCCACCCTCTCAGACCTCTACTGATCAATGTGCATCATAATAGAAATGGCAAGTTGATTGGCTCTCACCGGACATACCATTAACCACAGCACCAAGCTGAAGCCCACCATGGACTACAACCCAAGTTGAATGTCTACCTACAGACACAGCAGGCGGGGTCCCCCCGACTGGGCTTTCCTAATCTCTCATGCAGAGTTCTCTTGTTTTCCCTTCAGCTCTGTGAAAGCTGATGTCCTCCTTGATTTGACTTCTTCACCATCTGCCTCCCTTCTTGCTTGACTGTTGGCAAGAGATGAGATCTGTTTCACTCACTGAGGTGTTCTTTTTGGGATAAAGTCTCAGGGATCACAGTCTTCAACAACTGAATTTAAGATCACATTACTCACAAAAAAGAAAAAAAAGTCCTGCCAATCAAATTGAGACATGCTATCAAACACAAGATAGATTTCAATCCTCGACATGCAAAGATATACCTTAGAATAACTTATGACCTCAGAACATACCTTGTATAAAATTAATCTGCAGAACTGCAAAAGATTACCCTAAAACACTTATTTTCTATGATTTATAAAAAGCCCTAGAAATTATGACATATCCTGACATATCTGATATAACCCATATCTTTTAAACCTAATTACAAATTCTTTTATTTTTATGTGCTAATAGAAGCTATAAATTAACATAATTTTATTCACATGTGCAAATACACTTGAAAATAGTTCACATGGTGAGCCAGACATGTTTTCTAAATCTGTCTCCCATTCATTATTTTCACCCTGAGATGATTAGGGAAGAAGATCTGTCATTATTTATGCACATGTGGCATCATTATTGCTGTGCAAATACATGTTTCATCAATGTTTAATTTTATGAAAGTAGTCAGCCCATTCTGCATCTGCTTAGTTGCCTAAATATGCATTAATCAGAAGCGTTTTAGACATAAGTTTGCAATAATTCCCCAAACAGTGACAAATAAGACAGCTGAATAATTAAAAATGTGAAAAACAAGACAAAATTACAGTGCTCTTGATATTATGGTAGACATGAAAATGTGCTTCAAAAAATCCTGTTAGTTACAGCTTGGGCTAAAGAAAGAACAATGATATCTAGGAAGTTTTAATACCCCCTTGTTACAGATGTCTGTGAAAGGATGAGAGAGATGGTGAACTTAAAGTCCTGGGATGTAGGTAAGCACCCAACTCCATCCAAGTCTCCCAACTTAAGGTTGATTTGCGTCTGAGTCTCAGGTGAATTTTCTCTATTAGTGCCTCTCAGGCATCCCCGTGTCTACGAGTCAACACGGGATCTCATTAGAAGATATGTCATGATGCAGCAGGTCTGAGCTGGGTTTGAGAGTGCATGTTTGCAGCACATTTCTAGGTGTTATTGATGCTGCTGACCATGAGCAAATAAATCTGAGGGCAAAGCACTATGGATACATCATTCTTTGCCTGCCAATTAAGAATTCAGCATTTGATTTGAAAACACCTTGGCAGTGGTTTCCAGCATTATGCCTGTTTACTCTCATTGTGATCCTTTAAGGTAGGTGTTAGATATAAACTTTAAAATATCTATATTGCTAAACAGGAGATAAAATTACTAGATAATATAAAAACTTTCTCAAGGTTTCAAGCCAGCAACAGATTAGGAGCTGGGAAGTGAGAGCAGGTTAGGCAGCTACAGGGAGCAAACATGAGCACACATTTTTACTTTACTTTTTGAAGTTTTATTATTGTTAATACTTCTATTAAAATATCACTAAAGCATTTCCTCCTATTTCCTTCCCTTCTTCCAACAACGCCCACCATGGCTCCCCACATCAATACCTACCAAACTACTGGCCTCCTCCTCCCTTCTTGCTATTGTTGCAGGTATCTAACATATTAATGCACAAATATATAGATATAACTTGCTGAGTTTGTCCAGTGTTGCATGTGCATGATTTCAGGAGTGACCACTTGATACTGGATAACCTATTAGAGTATTCCCCCATGGGGGAAGACTACTTTTCTTGTTCTCAACATGCCTTAGTTGCCTGTAATTATTTGTTTAGACGTCCAACCATATTTTCAAATATGACTTGTATGGGATGTATTTCTATTTATTTACTTTTTTGTTGTCCTTGATAAACAAACGTGGCCTTATGTCATCTCTTACTGGACTCATCCATGGTCTAGAGTGAAGCCGGGTTAATTATATACTATAACACACACACATATATACATATATGTAGTTCACATACTATATATGTGCATTTGTACTTGGTAAATTTCCAGCATAGATTCTTTGAATTAATGCAAACAATAATAGGTCCAACCTATATTGCTTGCTCCCAGGGTCTGTGGAAGAGTCTAACAACCAGCTGAGGATTCTAATCTGAGGGATATTCAATGGATCTAAGCACACTGAGTTCTTTAGTCCATTCACTTTATTCTTCTAAGTCAAGTCTATCTATCTGCACAGTTTCTTTTCTGTTCTCTTACTTAGCTCCTCTCAGTCCCTCCTGCTCTCAGTCTCTCCTGCTATTCTCTCATCATTCTACCTAGTTCTTTCCATCTCCATCCTCATCTCTGTTGTTCTCAATCAATTATTTTCTTGCTTTTCTCTCATAACTATCAAGGTCTTTTCCATCTTCTCTCTCTTTGTTCCCCCAAGCATATATATCTCCATTCATTAACAACTTGTCAGTAAAAACTGCAAAACAAACTCTCAGGGACAAATATTGATAAGAGTCACACTTGGCAAAGACTTAGCTTATTTGGTGATTGACAACAGCTGTAGGTTGTAAAAAGTTCTGGCTATCTCTTAAAGGGATAGCTACAAAGGTTACAAGGAAAGAAATTAAACCAATGAGAGATTTAAGGAAAAGGCAAAGAATACGTGTACTATTTTATGTGATTAATAATATCTAGATATGGTTAGTCAGTTAATAGTCTTTTTCTGTTAGTCACCTGAATCTCAGGACCTATATAATTAGTCTACTGAGCCAAAAATATTACATTAAAAACTGGTGTGGAATTAAATACAAAGTGTTAATTGTTATTTGAATCAGAGTGGGGAGGTACCAGTGGAGGAAGCTTAGGGCAACATAGGTGCTATTGATCTCTTGAAGGACTAAAATATATCAAGGCCAGACACCTGCACTATCACTTCTGGTTCTCTATAATTCTTCTGAAGTGTTTTGATACAGCAAAGCCAGGCACCTGCAATTCTGCTCTGTGAAAGTTCTATGAGGACACTTTGTCTGGCCGATATTTACTGTGTCATTGGCTAAAGATGGAGAACAAGACTTCTAAGTGTCTACAGTCCACATGGAACAATAGATCTAGTTATGAAGCCTATTTTAGTATGTTTCTATTCATAAAAATTGTACAGTTAAACAAGAAACCACCTTCTAGATTATCCACAATTATGTGTGCCCATAAGATTGAGATCCAATCATAAGATTACATGTACACATAACATGGCAATGCACATTAAATGGGGAGAATCATAGCTGTTATTGCACAAAAATAACAAGAGACAGCCAGATCATTCAAAAGGCAGTAATTCCATAACACCTTGCATGATGATTCCTCTAACAGAACCCTTAGTTCTGGTAGGTTAACCTTCTGAACACTATTTGTCATTGCTGTATACTCTCATGGACTTTTGCTACCAGTGGCTCTCAATATTGAATAAATAAATTTATTTGCATATGATATTAAATGCTCACGTTTAAAAAGTACCATGATACATTCATTCTTGTAACTAACACTTCATGCTAAGCTAGCTCATGTAATGGAAACCCAGGAATTTACAACTAAACTTGACCCAACAGCTTCTGGCACAATGTGTTCCACACCTACTTGGTAACAGAACACCTTGAGAACTTGAGAAAATGTCTTTAACAAATCAGACTCTAACATGCTAACTCTAGTAGAAATCTCTTTCACTTAGTACTGGGTGGGGTATAACTACCCAGTCCAGGTTAGGTTAGAAGACCTGCACAAGGTAGACCCAATCCATTTCAGCATCGATAAAGAAGGGCCTCATGAGAACCCATCCATAGCTGAAGAGCTATTGTCATTTGATGGCTGCTGAGTGGGGAGAGTCAGTTTTCTTCAGGCATATAGTCCCTCCACAGGTTGCCTTTGCTTCCATGGATGATCCCACGCTCAAGTGCATACTAGGCAGCACTAATTGGACTTAGTGGGTTATATACTAAAAAGATAACCGTGAAGTTATATACTAAAAAGATAACTAACATGAAGTCAGGAGAGGGAAAAGGTGGTGGGGAGATTCATTTCCCAGTTCCAACTGTTCCTGATTTGAAGTCAATTTGAAGTCAATTCCTGATTTGGTCAGAGTAACCTGACCAAAAGAATTTACACTGCTTAAAATAACTATATTCAACTGAATCCCACATCCTTGTGATCTGTTTCCAATCATGCTACATTGGCTCCACTTTAGTCTGTAAGATCAGACACTGGCATGGTAAGAAAGCACAAGAGCGGGGTTTAGAAGACATTCGGGATACCCTCTGATCAGTTACCTTCTGAACCATGTCAATTAAATAAGATGCTTGGATTTGGTGTGAAAAAATCATACATTCCAACTCCAGTGGGTATCTCAATACTAATGTAAAACATAAAGCATAGTATGCTGCCTAGGAAACCAATTCCACAGTGACTGGGAGCACTGAACAGTTCTTTGTGTTGAATACTGTTGTAGTCAGCAGACTGAAATGGGGGCACTTTGCTTATGTAGACTTAGTAAAGCTCACCTAGCCATAAGAAAGTTACCACAGAAAGTAACAGGCAAGCTCTACATGGCCAAATGCACATGTACATTTGCTTAAGAAAATCTCTGAAATTTTAGCCTGAGAAGGTGTTCATCATGT